TATATGAACTTCTTGCAATATCCAATAAAAAAGGTAATAACAATTTCGATAGTTTTTTCAATCGTTATCGTTCGAGCTTCCACGCCTCATTAACAAGTCGAAAAATACCGGTACTTTTGGTGGTGACTTTAAAATGTATGCAGATCTTTCGGTAGGACCAAATCAATCATACTAGCGAAAGTTTCAGTCCCGAAAGGAATATCCTTCTAAAATTAAAGACAAGAATTAACAAAGAAAGAATTTATATTAAATTGCTGCCGCATTACTACGTTTATTAGAGCGCTAATGGGGAAATATATGAATTAAAGTCTTACCACATCATTGCTATCAGAAGAGAACAACCATTTTCCGAGGCTCTTGAAGTAGTCCATATACTGAAAAAGAAAGAGCTTTATTTCTGTGCCAGTTTTACAGATACAATTGGTATCTGTACTGTAAGTTTGGCAGCTCTCAAAATAGAAGCTTTAAAAACCTCGAAGAATGTTGACTGCATAATGTTGCTGTGCAGAACTGCATGGCATGAGGCATAAATTCCATTAACCACAATATCTCCAGAAGTCGTAAGAGGGGCGTAAATGCCTGTATCGTTAACAACTGTTTTGCTTACCACACGTGCGGTAACCAGGTACTCTTCTTCCTGAAGAAAATTACCTGGTATTAATTCAACGAAAAGCTTAGTTATCTTTGTTTTTCAGAACGTATTTTTTGATTTTTTTTTTGATAACCCCTCTAAACCCATTATAAAACAGTAAGTTCCTTGCGACACTCATTACTGCAAAAGAGCCCGTTAGAGTGACTTACTTTAGTAATTACACATTCTGAGCAATATATTTTCGTAAAATTTATTCATTTGAACTAAATGGGAAATTGACAGAGCACAAATTTTTTCTGTTTACCTGTTCACCCTTTACTTGGTAAAGACAGTCGCCGGCTCTAACTTCTTCTGCTCTTACGGCTTTATCGTTGATGAATGCTGTGTTAACACGTTCTCCAATATCTGGAATAATTCTAGTTGAAACAGCTGACGTGATCGTTTAAAATCATTTAAAAAATTTCGCTTTTCGATGAACAATCATAACAGAACTCCACAAAAAACCTTACTTTCACACGACGTTCTGTAGATGTAATGCAAGTTCGTGAGTTTAAGGCTTGTTCCATCTTCGAGTTCAAGCTTCTGGAATTCAGCTTTCTGGCTTGGTAGACGATGTAACCACATCTTCAGTGGTAGATAAACAAGCTAAAATTTAAATTTTTTGTATAAATTAAGATGTATTTCAAGATTAAACATAATTTTCATATTTTTATAATAACATACTGAGCTTCCTTGTTTGGAAAGAACCCAGTCGTTGAGAGTCAATTCATCCATCCTAACATCTTTGCCTTGCGAAGTATGAACGAGAGTGTCAGCAGAGAAGCACAATAATCCGCCCATACCGCCTGTAGTTGTCACATATTTAATCAGTTAAAAGTACAGTTACTTACTTTTTTTTTAATTTGTATGCACGTCTTTCTTACCGTAAAATCCTGAACCAGCAGCTGGGGCAGCAGCTGGCGCAGCAGCAGCTGGTTGATAATATTGTGGTTGATAATACTGATACTGAGGTTGAGCAACTTGCTGAACTGGATAGTAGTACTGCTGCACTTGTGGTTGTGGTTGTGGTTGTGCTTGAGCTTGAACTGTAGCTATATAACGTTGCGTCTGTTGCTAAAAAAAGTGTATATAATTTCAAAAATTTATAAACTATTAGTTTTTTTTAGTAGTAATACAAAAAAAAAGTTTAGCTAAGGATAACAGACTTATTCATTACCTGCGGGACTTGTTGGACCTCCTCAACAAATTGGTATGGCACTAAAATACAATAAAAATTAGATAAAATTCTAATCTTTCTTCACCGGTCGGTAACTTACTTTAACCGTTTTTTGCTCAAATTATTCACCTCTAATATAAAGGTTTGTTTTATTTTTGTTTAAATGTTTATTAAAGTTAATAAATAAAAAATATTAAGTACCTTGTTGTCGAACTGGAGTTTCAACGACTCTCTCAATGGTCTCCTGCACACCAATCTGTTGTAGGGATCCCTCACCGACTTGCCTAATCGGAGCCTAAAAACTTCATTTATTATCATTATTATTTTTTTTTGTAGTTATTTTGCTTTGTTCATTATTTGGCTGGTATCATCAGTAAAACTAACAAACAGTTTTTTTTTTT